CATTCGGTATACCCTTCCCCTCCCTTTCCCCCAAGATATGAATACACTGGAACGAAAAATAGCTAATAAGTAATGTACAGAACGGCCCCTACGGCGAGAACCTCGCCTTCGGGTACCCCAACGTCTCGTCTGCCGTAGCCGCCTGGGGTGACGAAGTCCAAAAGTACAATTTCCAGGAACCGACGGGGTTCACGGAGGAGACGGGACATTTTACGCAGTTGGTGTGGAGGGAGACGAGGGAGGTGGGGTGTGCGGCTATTGATTGTGGATATAACAATACTAACACTACTAATGATAATGATAATGGGAATGGGAAGAGAAGTGATGGTGGAGGCGGAGGAGGTGGTGGGATAAATGGAACGGAGAGACCGCAGGGATGGTATGTCGTTTGTGAATACTCGCCTAGGGGCAATATCATTGGGGGCAATAAGAAATTGGGGGATAAGGAGTTCTTTAAGATTAACGTGCAGCCGTCGAGTACTTATTCCGGGCCGTATAATACGGGATCGGCTGGAAATGGGGCCGCGAGGGTGGAATGTATAATGGGATTATGGTGGGTTGTGTTGGGGTGGTGGTTGGTGTTNCTGACTTTTGGATAGTTTNGGTAATTGGGATATGGATAGTGGTATAAACTGAACTTGAATGATTGCAGTAGTCATCATTGTCTGTCATCTCTCATTGCTACCAACATCACGCACATCAAAGTATCCCCTCACGCTCGGGAAAGAAATATGCAAACACAGATTCTATTCACTTTTTTTGAAATGTTCCAGACACAGGTGCCCCCACGCGCGGGCTGGAACCAATCCAAATGGATCACAGATGAAGTCTCACAGGGAAGAGAGGAAGAAGTGTGAAGGGCTTCAGAGAGGATAAGGAAAAAAAAGGCGAGGATATCGACAGACAAGATGCGAGATAAGGATAAAAGGAAATGAAAAGGAAAAGGAAATAGATGGAATAGAACACATTAGATACGAAGCTGGCTTCCCAATCAACCAATGACTTCCTCGTTCTCCTCGATGATCTCTTCCACAATCTCCTCCACCACTGTCTCGCCTTGGTCCTCCGACACAGCAGGGGCATCCTTGGCCTGCTTGGAGGAGTCGACGTCTTCCGGCACACCGTAGGCGTCCTTCTCCTCCGCAAGCATCTCCTTCTCCCTCCGGATCCAGGCAGCCCACTCGTTGAGCACGCGCTTGCGCGTCTCCACAACTGCTGTGTTGGCAATGTCGACAGCGTACTTGTCCTCCTCGTCGAACTCCTTCGAGTACTCGCGGAGGTTCTTGCGCACTTGCTTCTGCTCCTCCTTGCTGAGAAGAGTGGGGGGGCGGGGGCGCCAGATGAACTGCTTGAACTTGTCGGTGGGGTGTTCGGCGAGGGTCTGACCGGCGAAGGTGTGAATGTTGTAGCCGTTTTCCATCTACAGAATATATGTCAATAATCCAGTTGTAACAGAATATCAAAAGAAAGAAAGAACATACCGAGTGGGTCCACACGCTAGCACTGCTGACAACGTAGCGACCCGTAGGATCCCAGTCAATATCCGTGACACCGTAGTGCTCAACGGTCTTCATTAATTGCAGGTTGGCGGCCAGATCCTTCTCGCCCTCGGGCTTCTCACCCTCAAAGTCCATATCCCAGAAGTCAATGTCGAAGTTGGTCTGGGAGTGAACAGTAGCGACGACGACAAAACGTCCCTTGGGAGACCAGTAGATGGCGTTGCTGGTCTTCTTCTCGATGGTGCGCACAACCTTGAAGTTGCCGGCCGAGACACCCTTCTTTTCGGGGGCAAAGAAAGACACGGAGGTCTTGGGGAGAACGGCGGCGCCGCTGGGGGCCTCGCCCGTGGTGATGGCGACGAAACGTCCTCCGTTGGGTTCCCAAGCAAAGTTGATGACTGTATCCTTGAGACTGTCGACGACTTCCACGGGGACACCCTTCTCGCGCACGCGGAAAATCTCCAGGTTGGTGGCCATGGACTTCTTGGACTTGGAGTGACGGTCGACCTTGACACAGACGTAGGTACCTTGCGACTGCCAGTGCAGCTTGACATCCGAGACGTTGAACAGGTTACGCGTACGGACAATCTCCTTCGAGGGAACGCTCATCAAGGCGACACGGGCCGGGTTGCTGCCGATTTCGGGAGTCCAGAAGCAGAGCAGCTGTTCGTACTGCTTGACACCCTCGCGGACGACGGTGGCGGGGGACCACTCGAAGTCCATAACACCATCGATCTTGACGGAAGTCTTGCCCAGCAAGTTCATCCGGGGGAGCTCGTAGATCGAGATCGACTGGTGCTGCTGCATTCTCGCAACGTACTTCTCGTCAGCAGACCACTTGAAAGCGGGCCACTGGACCTTCTTCTTGGGCTCTCCATCACCACCAGGGCCGGCAGTCAGATCGTGGGAGACGAAGGAACGAAGAGGCTTGCCAGTGACGATATCCCAGATGATGATGTTCTTTCCGTCTTCCTCGTAGGTCAGGACCGGGTGGCCCTCCTCAACCTGGATGGGGCGGGCGGACCAGGTGGTCAGGTAGCTCTCACCGGGCGAGAATTCGACCAGCTGAACGAAAGGATGGGGGAACTGCTTCTGCTTCGAGAAGGCGGGACCACCCCAAAGCTGGACACCCTGGGGGTGGACGGAGGCGAGGTAGGTACCCTTGGGGGACCACTGGACGAAAAGCTGCGTCCAGTGCGCGCGATCGACGACGTTCTCCGGGGGATTGCTCTTGTTGTTCCAGAACACACCGACCTTGTCGCCACGGTAGAGGGCGAACTGGTCACGGGCGTTGGCGTCGCCCAGCCATGAGCGGAGGTGCTCCTTCTCCTTGAAGGGTTCGATGGTGGGGGGCTTGTATTCCTCGTCGATGCGTCCTTCACGGCCATAGCGATCGATATCCATCAACTTGTTGACGGCGAGAGTGTGCTTCTTATCGAGGGGTACACCGTGCAGTTGCTTGACGGCAGCGATGGCCTGTTCGGGGGTCTCGTACTCAACGAAGGCGAAACTGAAACGACGTGTTAATGTTTCCACAACCTTTTCCCGACCACAATCAGAATTCCTAAGTTGAAACATACCCTTCGGACATGTTCTTGTCGTTGAGGGGCATGAAGACGGCATCTTCCGAGGTGTGGCCGACCGTGTTGAGCTTCCTCAACAAGAACTTGATGAGCTTTTGCCGGCTCTCCTCGGGGACGACCGGAAGTCCATCGATCACAACAAATGTGTCCAAACCCTCCTCAAGCTTCACTTCATACTGCTCCTTGAGATCTGGATGGAGAAAAACGGGCGGAGTCAGCGACGAGGGGCACGGGGGAAATTGGGCGAGAAGAGGATGATGGAACAACAACGCGAGGCGCACTCACCGGAGAAGTCAATCTCCTCCTCCTCCTCTTCGTGGAGGTCCTGCTCAGTCAGGGTGTCAAAACTGGGCGCCATGGTTGCAGTCGCAGCGAACGGCGATATGGGGGGTGAGGGTGGAGAGGGTATGATCTTGAAGATGAAAGATGCTGTTCTGGATTTTCTGCTGGTCGACCCCGATTTGGCTGATTTTAGGGCAAAAGAACAAATCCCAAACCACAAGCGCCTTCTGTGTGCGAAGGCAGCTGAGTCAGGGCTGAGTCATCTCCCCATTGTCCCTGCTTGCTTTCACTTTCGCGCGGTAAAGTGACGGTAAATGACCATTCCCCATGATACCACTAGTAAACTGCCTATTCTTTCTCCAGCTCCACCACGTGATAACGCTTATCTAAGCCACCCGCCCCCAGCTTCTCGCCCGGCTGATTATGTCTTCTGTAACCGACTTGTACAATCGGCTTGGACCAGCCATAACATTTCGCGATCCTCACGCATCGTCCCGCTTTCCGTTGCTGCTGCGGGTGATAGCTGCTGGTCGTTGTGGGCCGGCCATCACGAACTCCTCGTCTATTCGTTTTTGTCTTGTCTAATCCATCTCTCTCCCTGTCCTACTTCCTCCTGGGGCTTTACGTACCTCCTCTCTCTTATGCCCCGCCGGTCCTAAGCGCCAGCGCTACGCCCAGATCTAGACGATCCTCCTCAGTGCACGACCACCGTGAGCTGAATCCCGCTGCTGATAGCCTTGCGAACTCTTAAATTGAGTCCAGTCAGCAATTGACAACATCAAATTCCATTCAGTTGTGTTGTTTCCTGCAGAGGTGCTGCAAAGCAAAGCTACCCGGTCCACCATGTCGCGTAAGTTCGGAAGTCTGATGTTCCCGGTCGATGCTCCACGCCGAGATCGCTCTCAGCTGACATCATGGCTTTTTCTTTTTCTATGCAACAGTATCTCCAGAAGCCCGCGATCAATACATTCCGATCATTGATTCAATTCTCGCCAGAAGTGATTTGACCACCATCTCTTCAAAAACCATTCGCAACGGCCTTCAGGATGAGATCGGCTATGATCTTACCCCGCATAAGGTCTGCGCCCCCGGCCTTTCATTATTGTCGCATATTGCTCTTTGCTCTTTCGATTCGTAGCGGTAGATCTCAAACATAATGCTAATGTTACTTTTATTCATACAGCTTGCCATCAAGCAGCTTATCATGGAGCGGTTCGACGTCTGTGCGGCACAAAAGGGCATCCAAACCGCATCCGAGACACCGGCGACCTCTGCTTCCACCACCAATGGCCATGGGAAAGACCACGACTCGGTGACCCCTGTTGAGCCGTCCTCTCCGGCCCAATCTTCCATGTCGCAGAAACGCCAAGCGGAGAGTGAGGAACATTCGGACACTTCAAGCAAGACTCCTCCTGTTAAGAAGCAGAAGCCCGACAATGACATCGATGCGGATGCCCTGTTCGCGGCCAAACTTCAGGCCGAGGAAAACATGCGTGCGCGCCAAACCCGCGGGGCTAGTACACGCAGAAGCCAGCCTGTGAAGAAGAAGCAGCCTGCCAAGGCAAAGACATCCAAGAAAGTGAAGGCTGAGGACGATTCGGACCTTGAATCGGGCTCGGACTCAGGAAAGAAGGTCAACAGATCTGGCGGGTTTCACGTATGCTGCAAATATTTCCTACTGGAGGTGACTGGTGCTGACGGCTGTCTAGAAACCGCTGACTCTTTCCCCGGCACTTTCGGCTTTGTTGGATGGCGAGGTGACGGTATGACTATTTCTTCCCATTTCCGGTCGGGCAAGAACTACTACTAACATTCGGACAGCTCTCGCGACCGCAGACAGTGAAGCGGCTTTGGCAATACATCCACGAGCATGATCTTCAGGATCCCAATGACCGGCGCCAAATCCGCTGTGACGATGCGATGCGTGCCGTGTTCAAGCAAGATCGCATACACATGTTTACGATGACCAAAATCCTCAGCCAGAATCTGTATAGTCCCGATGAATAACCTTAGGTATCTAGACGCGAACTTATGCCTTCCGGACAAGGCAATCGCAGCGACCAAGTCGTTGCCTTAACGATTCCCCGACTTTTGCTTATTACACAGCATTTGGAACCCAGGCGCTAACTCTCTTTTCATTCTGCTCCAACATTTTATTACTTGCTTCTCATATTGATATTTTGCTGCACTTGTTGCTACTCTCATTGGCGAACTGATTGCCCTATCTTTCTTTGTGTTGACCTGCTTTTCTCTCCAGCGGGAGTTGGTGCTGCCTTGTGGACAGGCGCGATGGATGTTGCTACCTAGAGATCGTATTCGCTTATTGATTTGGCTACATACATCGCATCGCGTCATTGCATGATACATTTTCAGTTATCGCACGAGCAGCCGGTACAGTTGTAGCCGAAGGGGCTAGTAATATGCATCCCATGGCTAAGCCGCACAGATGATCTGCCTTGTAGTTGCATGAGCTATAATGAGTCAAAATGAGTCATATCAATAACTGGAACGAATCCCCCAATAGATTAATTGCCTAGTTCTCCTATGCCGAGTTAATCGCAGTAATATAAAATTGATAGAACGGGAGCGATGCTCACTAAGCATGCCGCCGAACCAACTTTTTTGCCCGCCGCTCGTAACGTGAAAGCTGGTCCCTCCACTGCAACGCCGGCTTATCACCCCTCCGCCGAAATTCGCTGTCTGGTCGCACAGGCTCACCAAAGCGCGACGCGCTTCCCCTCCCAAGAGAGCAAATTCTGGGCACTGCCCCCCAAAACATCACCTTTCCTGATCACCTCGAGTAACCGCCCCTCAATCTTTCCACGTTTCCAATGTCCGAATCCCAGCCCGCCCAAGCTCCCGGAGCGCAAGGCCAAGGTCGGGGCGGCCGTCGACGAGGCCGCGGAGGAGGCTTTGGAGCTGCTCGCCAACCTGGACAAACCGATGGTCACCATCACCATTCCCATGATGGCGCTGGAAGGGGTGCGAGATCTAGGGGCCAGGGACCCCGTCGCGGAGGCGGCAGCGGAGGACGGGACAAGCAGGGTCGCTCGGGGAACAAGCCGGAGGCTTCTGCTGCAGGTGGACAGGGTGATACGAATGCTCAGACGGCGTCAGAAGGCAAGGGGAAGCAGCCTGTCACAACAGAAGAGTCCGATGATGCGGATGATGGCGAGGTCTGCTTTATTTGTGCTTCGAAGGTCGACCATACCTCGGTCTCGCCGTGTAATCACCGGACTTGTCATATTTGTGCGCTGAGATTGAGAGCTTTGTACAAGAATAAAGCTTGTGCACACTGTCGGGTATGTGTCTTGTCTGATTGTCTTCTCTGGTCTTCGTTGTGGCTATGCGCTGACATTCGCTTTTGGATTAGACGGAATCCAACTATGTTATCTTCACGGATGACCATGCCAAGCGCTACGAGGATTTCAAGGACTCCGATTTTTCGCAGATGGACGAAAATCTAGGAATCAAGTACGAGAACAACGACATCTTTGAAGATACAGTGTTGTTGTTGCGGTACAATTGCCCGGATAGAGGCTGTGATGTGGCTTGCTTGGGATGGCCTGACCTGCATCGTCACGTCAAAAGCAAGCATGGCAGAGTGATGTGGTAAGTTCCTTCTACCGTTGGATGCGATGAGCTGTGTAGGCGCATACTGACTTCAATGTCCCAGTGATCTTTGCACACGAAACAAGAAAGTGTTCACGCACGAGCATGAGCTCTTCACCAATGCAGAGTTGCGCAAGCACGAGAGGCATGGAGATGATGTGCCTGGTGCCATAGACCAGAGTGGGTTCAGAGGCCATCCTGAGTGTGGTTTCTGTCGGCAACGGTTCTATGGTGACGACGAATTATACGCACATTGTCGTGACCGTCACGAAAGATGCCACATTTGTGACCGTCGCTCCAGCGGCCGCCAGCAACAGTACTACATCGACTACAACGCTCTCGAAGACCACTTTCAGAAAGATCACTTCCTGTGCCTCGACCAGGAGTGTCTGGAGAAGAAGTTCGTCGTCTTCGAGTCCCAGATGGACCTCAAGGCACATCAACTTGAATGCCATCCCAACGGCCTTTCTAAGGACGCCAGACGCGACGCTCGCACTGTTGACCTGTCATCCTTTGATATCAGAACTCCTTACCAGCCTCAGCGCCAGCGTCGAGGTGCTGGTCGTGGACGCGATCCTAACGCGGAGCCTCTACCGGTGTCCAGCGCTCAGCCACTGCGAAGAGACGAGATTGCGTATCAACGCCAGATGGCCATCCAAAGTGCACAGTCCGTGTCTACCCGCAGCTTCGGCGGCCAACTAACACGCAACGATACTCAGCCTGTGCGTGCTCCGGCTCGTCCAACGCCCACACAGACCCCTCCCGCAGCCACGCCAGTTGCCGAGATGGAAGACCTCAACCTCAGTGCCGATTCGGGTACTCCTCAAGAAAAAGCCCGCCGTCTCCGCCATGCGGCTGTCGTCGAAAGAGCCTCGAACCTCCTAGGCAACGACCAGAACAAGCTCAAGGAATTCCGTGCCCGGGTTTCCAGCTACCGCACCACCTCAATCTCCGCCACAGAACTCATCGACGCCTTCTTTTCGCTCTTTGATACCTCCAGCACCGAACTGGGCAAACTCATCAAAGAACTCGCCGAGATCTACGAAGACGAAGGCAAGCGCAACGCCCTCCTCAAGGCCTGGAATGACTGGCGTGCCATCAATGAAGACTACCCAGCTCTGCCCGGCCCCGGCGGCATGCTTCCCGGCATGTCCCCAGGAACCGTGAACGGCAGCGGAGTGGGAGGAAAGCGTGTCCTGCGCCTCAAATCCTCAACAGCCCAGTCCTCCCGTTCCTACGTTGGTAGAAGCGGTGCTATGCCTTCATCATCCTCCTCTTCCTCAGCCGCTAACCCCTTCCCCCCTCTCTCCTCGACCACCGCCCGCTCTACCCCCCGATCTTCCACCCCCGCTGCCACTACTCCCTGGGGCGCCGCCGCGGCCGCAGCTCCCTCAGCCCCGACCTCTGCCTTCAGCAGCGCCACCTCTTCCCGCTCCGCCTCGCGCGCCCCGGCGCGCCCAGTCAACGCCAACAGCGCCGAAGCCTTCCCTGCTCTCCCTGCTGCGCCTAAGCCCAACGTCCTCATGGCAGGTCTGACTCGCGGCACCGTCCGCTGGGACGACCGTCACAAGCCATCCGGGAATGCCTGGGCCTCTCGGAACGACCCCGGCGCTAGCTCGTCTAATGCAGAGGATGATTTCCCCGAGTTCCCTGCAGGAGGCAAGAAGGGCAAGAACAAGAAGGGGAAGCAGACTCTGTTCCATTTCGGATAATGATGATACATACCACACCACTATACTGTTCTTTTCTTCTCTTCTTTTCTTTCACCTCACACATACGAAAGTGGGTTTGTGTCTATGCATCGTCGGTCCGGGTCCTACGTTTGTTGATGATGTCGTTGCTTGTTCAGCTTGTATTTGAGCGAAAAATGCTTTTTACTTCTAGAGTTGCTTGCGTGAGGTAAATAAAAGCTAGTGGGCTGGTTTTTCTTTGCGTTGGTGCAGGGGGATGAATGGAAATAAGTACATTTCAGTCTGGGGTTGGATTATGGGGGTGTAAAACAAATGCAACACAATACTGTTAAAGTCATACATGATGTGGTAGAGATGAACGGATCAGGATTCAGTATTCATTGAGGAAATGGGATTCTGTTCGTCAGAGGAATCATCATTATTTTCAGAACGCGACGTGGCGAGTCCATCTACAGGCCCCTCGGAGACGTCCGAGGGAGGAGCTAATAGTCGTGATATACAATCATTAGGACTTTCGAGAAGGGCTTCTGACTCAGGAATTCCAAGCTGACCTTCAGCAGTTTGCACCAGGGTTTCACCCAGTTCAGAGCTATGATGGACCTCAGGGCCCTCATCATCGAAAAGAAGGTTCCCGGTAGAACTAGTGTCCTCGTACACTTCCCTGGGCGCAGGAGCGTCTTCGTCGCTGGCACATGCCGCGTCCTCGTCGATAGCAGCCATACTCAGAGCAAAGTCATCCTGAAGCCGCTTCAACCATTTCCGAAGGGCTTCGCCTTCCATAGTTCTATTACGGACTAGAAGGAGTTGTTCTTTCAGCGAAAGGATCAGATTCCGTCTACGAGTCACCGCCAAGGCTCTGGACTTGCTATGTCGGCGTTTAGCGAGCTGATTGAGTTTCTCTGATACCTGCTGTGTGGTTTCGAGGACACCTGGGGGAAGGTCAACAAGCTTGGCTAGAGCGAGGCCGTAGAATTGATTCGTATCGATGCCTTCGGCTATCTTGTAGAGCATGGTCATTTTCGAAGCATCGGGGGATACTTCTGCCGTGAGATGGAGGCTCACGACGCCATTGCGCTCGCCCATTATTAAGGCGAGATCTCGGAAATGGGTCACAAACCAGACTAGCGCGTGGCTTTCTACGAGTGCTTCCGCGATGGCGATGGCTATGGCCAGGCCGTCTGTTGTGCTGGTGCCGCGCCCTAGTTCGTCGACGATAACCATGCTGCGCGGTTCGATGTTGCGGAGGATGAAGGCCATTTCGCGCATTTCGGCGGCAAAGGTCGAAATATTTGCTTCGAGGTCGTCGGACGTGGAGACTCGTGCGAATAGTTGGTGGACGATGGGGAATGATGCATATTCTGCTGGGATGAAACAGCCGATTTGCGCCATTACGGTCATCAGCGCTAGGGTGCGGATGTAAGTGGATTTGCCGCTCATGTTGCAGCCTGTGATGATCTGGAAGCGAGACTGTTGCGTTGCGTAGGCATCATTGGGGATGAACTTCTTCGTGTGTATCTTCTCGCGGATCGGATGACGTCCGGATTTGATTGCGAGAGTATCTGTCAGTTCAGGCCGGATGTAGTCGTTTGATGTTGCTAATTGGGCGAACGCTGTTAGGATGTCAAGAATAGCAATGGCTTCGCTTACTTTGAAGAGTCCTGAGATCTCTGAGCAGATGTTGTGAATTAGTCCCTGCACCGTTTCGTCGCTCATATTGATGACTTCATTGTGTGCATCTGTGATCTTCTGATTGAGCTTAACGAGATCGAGCGTTTGACACTCTATACGGTTCTTTTTGCGAAAGACGTTGATGAAGACGTCTGGCAAGGATTCTACTGTTGTAGCCGAGAGACTAATGTAGTATTGGCGAGCTCTGTCGAACTTCAAGTCAAGGGCTATACTGTACGTTTCTACTACTATCAGCTATGAGCAGTTTCTATGCTCCAATGTACTGACCTGCTAGCTCTGCTACGAGATCCGCGGCATCTGTATTAGCTTCTTTGTATGTTTGTCTCGCGACGTCGAGGAGGCTGTTCACACCAGCCTAGAGTAAACTATGTCAGGCATGCAGGGGAACTTGCACATGAGGCTTACCCGGACACAGTAAATGCGCTGGTTCCTGAGATCAAGTGGCCGGGTTTGGTATGTGACATGCTCGTTGAGAGTCTCTTCAATCATCTGCTGAACAGCCCGGTGGCCTGCTGGGGCACATAGCTGTATAGTGGTTAGCTACCGCATGACAATATCAACATACAGCTACCTCTCTTATGGTTGTTAGAAGACTGCTTTGAGCTGCCATCAGTGCCTTGTAAACTGACTTGATTGATCCCACGTATGTCTTGACCATGATGACATTGTTGACAGACTGCTCAGCGTATTGTAAGGCTCGTTTATTGGGCACAAGGATGAGCTGGATTGTCAGTAAGCTATTAAGAAGGCTAGTTCTCCACTTACAGAAGTAAGAACTTTATCCGCATCAACAAAGCCTTTGAGAGCTAATATTTGGTATGGTTAGAATAGAGTCATATATAGCAGGATTCTAAACGAACCTTGTCTCACTGAGACAAACATGTCCTCCTTTGTAGACAAATCCTCAACAGCATCGTATCGTGCTTGCAGCTTTGATTCCTCGGTTGATGGTTGAAGAATGTTGGCTCTGAGAAGCCTTGCACCCATAGGTGTCAGAGTCTCATTGAGAAGTCCGTACAGGCTATCCTTTGATTTCGCATTGTGTATATTTTGGATCAACTCCAAGGAGACAATTGTGGATAGATCAATGGACATGGACCCCTGTGATGGCTCGAACCTGATACGAAGCGAGTGGCAGGTGAAGGTTCTGTTTAGCTCCAGCTCGACATACTTTAAGACCTATGGAAATTAGTCGTGTCAGCCAGACGGTTGTGGTGCTCACCGCAGCAAAGCAGCAGGCAGCATAATAGTTCCCTCCCAGGACGATTTTGATGGGTTCAACATCCCCAGAAAAGGCGAGCCGGTCTACATAGTCATGGCCAGCCCTCTCCGACCAGAACTTGCGGTCTAAAAAGGTAAATGTAGTATCTTGGATATTCTCCTGTATGATGTAGAACAACTTGGATTCTTTGGCAGAGGTTGCGAACAGAATCTCGGTCGGTTCGAATACCCCGATCTTCGTGACAGTTCTGACGTACGTCTGGCTATCGCATATCTGACACAACACTGTCTCTGCAGTGGATAGATTGACAAAAGCAAGGCCAACCGTCGAAGAGATACCTCTGGACTCACTAACGGCACAGATGATGTCCTGAGAAGCAACGCTTGTTGCTGTTGTCGTTGGCCTCGGCGTTGTTCTGGGGAATGTGCTGGTTCTGAAAAAGGGAGCAACAGAGCTAGCAGCCCCAATAGAGGAGCTTCGAGCAAATGAAACCGACATTCTGCGTTTTGCATGATTTACCAGCTGAGGAGGAGAGCGTTTTTCCATTGATGCAGGATATAGTTAGAGCTGCCGTCCGGAAGCGGACTAGTGGCGATAGACTCCCCGCGATAGCGACGGCTATCTTTTATCTTTTTTTCGGCGAAAATCTTCAACGACAAAATCATCCAACAAAGAGCGACACAATGGCGACTCTTCTACCTCCCCCGTCGAAGCGTCAGAGGACAGAGAATGCTGAGCGGGCCCGCCTGCAGCAGGAGATCCAGAGTGTTCCAGAGAACCTGGGTAGCATTCGTGTGCAATTCTTCGACCAGGCGACGGGATCTGCGACCGGGCCGGCGGTGTCCGTTCCAGTTGCTGATGCCAGTGTGAAGAATCTCGAGACTCTTTTGAATACGTTACAAGGCAATGTAGGTATGCAGCAAGGCATTGTTCAGCATATACCAGAGACTAATAGATTTCTTTTTGCGCCGCAGGAAGAAGATGAGCGAGTACCGTACCGGTTCACATACCAATCCGATGGCAAAGACAAAAACGACCAGACAATCGATATCCTCTCTGACTTGTACCACTCCCTCTTGAAGCCCGGCCTGAAGACAACCGAAGATACTGTACATCTCTACTTCACTCCCCAGGCTGTGTTCCGCGTCAAAGCCGTTTCACGATGCTCCGCTGCGATCGCCGGACACGGCGAGGCAATTCTTGCGACCAGCTTCTCCCCTGTTAACTCGTCCACAATGGTTACCGGCAGCGGTGACTCTACAGCTCGCATCTGGGATTGCGACACTGGAACTCCTCTGCACACTCTGAAGGGCCATACCAGCTGGGTGCTGGCGGTCAGCTACTCGCCCAACGGCGCAATGATTGCGACGGGAAGCATGGACAATACCGTGCGCTTCTGGGACGCAAAGAAGGGAACCCCGTTGGGCGCGCCCTTGAAGGGACACGCCAAATGGATCACCAGTCTGGCCTGGGAACCATACCATCTTCAGCAGCCCGGCCGGCCGCGCCTGGCGTCCGCGTCCAAGGACTCGACAGTCCGCATATGGGACGTGGTCTCGAAACGCATCGACACCGTTCTCACCGGGCACAAGGGCTCCGTGACCTGCGTCCGCTGGGGCGGAACCGGGAACATCTACACTGCTTCTCACGACAAGACCATCAAGGTATGGAATGCTCAGAACGGTACCCTGCGTCAGACCCTTTCTGCGCACGCCCACCGCGTCAACCACCTGGCCCTGTCTACCGACTTTGTCCTCCGCACTGCGTACCACGACCACACCGGCAAGGTGCCGCAGGCCGATGCCGAGAAGATCGCGGCAGCCAAGCAGCGATTCGAGCAGGCGGCGACCATCAACAACAAGATCGTCGAGAAGCTAGTATCAGCGAGTGACGACTTCACTATGTACTTGTGGGAGCCGGTTAATTCGAGTAAGCCAATTGCGCGACTGCTGGGACACCAGAAGGAGGTGAACCATGTGACGTTCTCGCCGGACATGGCGTACATTGCGTCCGCGGGATTCGACAACCATGTTAAGCTGTGGAACGCCCGTGACGGGAAGTGAGTTTTTACCACAGCTTCAAAATGTGACATACAAGTACTAATGGACAATAGATTTATCACGACACTCCGCGGCCACGTCGGCGCCGTGTATCAGTGCTGCTTCTCGGCTGATTCCCGGCTGCTGGTCTCGTCGTCCAAGGACACAACGCTGAAGGTATGGAATGTGCGGACGGGCAAGTTGCAAGAGGATCTGCCGGGCCACAAGGACGAGGTGTTTGCAGTAGATTGGAGTCCGGATGGACAGAAGGTGGGAAGTGGCGGGAAAGACAAGGCGGTGCGGATATGGAGGAATTAGATACCACACAGCGTATTAAGTTATCTAACTTCGTACTATACTAGTATACTACTATAGAACGCATGACACTGTTATGACTGACAATATCATAATAACAACAACATAACACCAACTATACTGCCCACCAGACTAAATCTTACAACTAATGAAATCAAAATCAAAAATATCAACAATCATTGATCACATTAACATACATATACAAAACACTCATTAATAAAACCAAATGAACACAACCACTATACTACCAACCCACTTCATCTATAACTACTCTAGTATCTTTTCCTCAACCAACCAACCATCTCCACCAAAACTAACCCCGCCCCGAAAAGGAAGTAGTACTAAGTAGTTTAGATATACTCCCAAGCAGCGACAGAACCATTGGTAGCCACAGCGAGGGCATCAAAGCCCAAGCAATCAGCGACATTGCCACTGGGCACGGTAGCATTCTTAGTAGCAGCAAACACCTGCCACTTGTTACCCTGATCAGGGCAAGCCATGAAGCCCGTAGCACCGGCACCGGTGAAAGTCCAGCTGCCGAAGGGCTTGCCGGGGGTGTACTTGAAGGGGCCGGTGGACGAGCCAGCGGGGATGTAGGCCGAGTGGGGGACGGTGAAGGTCAGGGCGCCGCTGGGGGCGACGTAGACTTGCTGGCCGCCGGGGACTTCGACGTCCTATTTCATTATTTCATTAGTATATGGGGGTCTTGTGTGGTTTTGATGGGGGAGAAGAGGGTATGGGAAAGGTAATATGGTTATGGTTATGGTATGGGGGAACTCACCAAAGCAGAGCCATCACCAGCAAAAACGGTCTCAGTACCAGCAGGGCAGCCGGAAGAGATCGGGCAGTAAGAAGAGGTGTTTCCACCCAGGTAGAAACCGCCGCTGTTGGCGTTCAAGGGGAGAAGGTGGATGGGAGAGCCGGAGCGGGCGGACATGATGCCGAAGGTAGAGGGAGTGGTGGCATTGGTGGTATCGCGCTGCTGGGCGGGGGCAGCGGCGGCCAGGAGGGGAAGAAGAGTAGAGGCGAGAGTGAACTTCATTTTGATGGTATTAGAAAGTTTTGATTATAATATAATATAGAGATAGGTGTGGTGGTATGGTGTGGAAAGGTATCAAGTTGTTTTGTTTGAAAACGAATGTCTTTGGAGTACTGAAGGGGAAGAGAAGGAGGATCCTTAGGCTGTATTTATATCCTTCGATGATCAGACTATGAGATCAACCAGTTACTATTAGGGAAAGAAACTAAGTGGAGAGAGAGCTCGAAGAGAAAGAGTGAGAGTGGCCAGTCGAGCAAGGGCCTCCATCACAAGAAACATAACGAGGGCACTACGGTGCACTATGGATAGCAACAGACAAAACATCGCCTCCGGCATCCATCTCAACCCTGCCACAGCAGAAAACGCAGGGAAGCGGCACGAGCCGTCAGAGAATAATAGAGCCTAAACCTATCAGAAGAGGCCTCCCACTTACTATCTGCTAGCCCAGCACACTAAAGTGAAACCGCATGGAGACGAAGACCCTCACCAGCCGTGCAGAGTGGCTCAATTGAAGGAAAAAACTGGGGAACCCATGAGCTCATGACGTGCCGGTTAAACGACCTGTCTCAGTTGTTGCTCCGAGACACGGCAAGGGAAGAAGAAGAAGGAAAAGGGAAAAAAGATTGATGCCCGTTGGCGACCGTTTAATTATAGAACGACGATCATCTCCAATCAATACCAAGAAGTTTAGGGAAAACAGGGTCCGTCCAGCAGACTAGCAACTTACTATGTAGTCAGGGTTCCCGGTTCCCGAATATCCGATGCCCCAATCTAACTCTTTTCTCACTTGCTCTTTTTTTGGTCGGTCGGACAAGCCCGATTTACCTAGACCATCCCTTACGAAGGTTTTGCTGAAGACTGAGCTTCGAGCGCCTTTTTCCGACGCCCGCCACCTTTCCCATGGAAGCTGGTGGCCGATCGACGTCATCGTCGACGTTGCGCACCGCCACAGTCAATACGAGCTGCAGAGGCGACCATGTCTCGGTGGAACGATGGTTCGTCCGGACGAAGCAACTGCGCGTGTCCGAACAGAACTTTAACCTAGTCCAGAGGGTTGATAGACCGCGAAAGAGCACAAAGGAATGGATTACTGCTATCAGGCTATCATTCATACATTCTCCTAGGGTAATGCAATACAGTACAGTCCCCCATAAGATGAGCATTTTCGCCTCTAACCGTTGTGCGCGGGACCGTAGGACCAGGCGCGAAAACCATCACTTCGTATAAAGCAAGTCACACGAATCGAAAGCAAGGAAGCATTAATCAAATATCACGTAGCAAGGAGAAATGAACCAGGAGAACCCGAAGAACCCTGTGACACCGGCCCAGATAGTAACAATACACCCCCATTCCGTTTGAAAGAGCCCATCACCAACACCGCAGAACCAAACCCCGCGTCCAACCTTGACCCGTATATATATAAACCGCGTGAGCAAAAAAAGCAACCAAAAACACAAAACATCGCCCATTGGTATCCCGAATTAGCAAACAACCTTGGTTTAGTCGTAATCGTCCCCGGCATCGTCTCCGTCGCTGTGACGCCCGCGAGATCCCTTTACTCCGTCCTTGCGGATGGGAATCTTGATCCCCTGGAGGGCAAAGCATTTGCTCAGTGGTGTGCTCTCAATGACACCGGGGAACTTCTTGGCCGAAAATACGTGGAATGGCTCGGAGAACACCGAGGCCAGTACTGGCGCAGAGCCGTGGTTGATCACGGAGACCCCGTTGGGGGAATCGCCGGACTGGCTGCCTACATTCACAAAGCTCATTTTGAGACTGCACGCGAAATCAGTTACATCAATCAAATCGTGATCGGCTCAAAAATCTGCACTCACCGGAAAGAGCCCTCTGTGCGGACACTCAGGTCCTGCAGGATAAACCACACTCCGATCTTGTTTTCCGGGTCGGTCAAGCGAAACGCGCTGGCGCTGAGGCTGCCGATGAGGTTCCGCGTGAACATGCCGCCAGGGCCAGAGGCCACAGGCTGCGCCGGGGAAATGTTGGTGGGCGGCATGTGACCGCCGGCATAGTAAGGCTGATAATAGGGTGCTTGTGGATTCGCTCCATACGGGTTTTGATACTGTAGTTGGGGGTTGCCACCGTAGTAGTTGTTCATCTGAGGGTATCCAACAGGCTGGCCGTAGGCATTTTGCGCGTAGGGCGGGTAGGAAGGCGAGACACTATGCGGCGGAGGGGGGTATGAGGAGGACATGGCCGTCGATATCGAGGGAGAAGTGGCGGAGTGCTTGACGAGGTTTACCTCGCTGGTCCCTTCCGCGTTCCACAGGTCGACCATGAGCACATAGAAAGACGTGTCGATCTCACTAGAATGGCCGGTCAGCACCTATCATCGGCAGAGCGGAATATGGTGCCGTCATACTTAATGTCAATCTCCTTTTCAGTTTGGGCATCTCGGACAACCAGGCGAATGCAGGGAGGAGGTGTAATGGGTCGGCGATCCTGAGCTACAGTCAGCTACCCATCGAAAAGGTGGGAAGAAAAGAGCGGTTCAAGACAGCACAGCAAGACCTACCTTATCGCCGAAGCCACACATCCGGGCGCGAACCGGCTGCTGAACCACCTGCAAAGACCAAATGCGATTTTCATGGACGGTGGAAAGCGGCGCTAGATGGCTCGACGGCGGTAACCCGCCGGCAGACGCGACGCCTGCAGAGCCCGGAGTGGGGTATGAGGAGGATGGGGGAGGGATACGATCCATCGAGAGCGGCGGCGGGGGAGGCGGTGCGGTATGTGTGCGATCGTCCAGAGCGTACATGACGCTCATCACGTTTTGGAAGAAGGTGAAAGTCGAGGAAGTGGTGGCGGGGTGAATGCCCGAAACTGCTGCAGCAAGACTCGCGACAGGCAAACCCAATCTATCACGAGTCTAGATCGGGCAACGACACAGGCTCCTATGGCAGTCTTGCAAAAAGGAACCGGATGAATTAACACGCGTCGTTTGGAGGATGGTGCACAGTTGTAGACGTGAAGCTCGGAGAAGTGAGGATTGAACTCTGGGTAAGGCGCAGCGACGAGCTGTCAAAATGCGGGAGAATCGCTGAGCCTTCCACGGATCGGCCGCAGGACCACAGGTTCCCCAACGATGACCGCTTTATCCTGGGAGGTAGCACAAGGACAGGAACCCGCAGGGCTAAATGATTGGCGGCTTTGAAGCTGCGAGCCAACCCGAAGCTGGAACAAGACAGAACAGAGGATAGACTGGAGGAGGAGGAAGAGAAGCCAAAAAAAAAAAAAGGGCGGGGTTGCGAAAGAGGGCAGGCTGAACGTGAAGAGGGAAGACGGAGAGTTGGTGCGGACAGCAGAAAAGATTGGAGCAGCCGAGGAGGGGACGAAAGCAGAAGGTGAGCGAGTCACGGGCAGCTCTCGAGGTCCAGAACCTTAAGTTTGGGAGGAGATGAGCTCATTTGCGGTTTCTACTTAAGTTACTGTGTATTACATCTCGATATTCCTACGGGCGCTGGTCCTTTCGATTCCATTTTATCGAATCTGATAGACGATATACTATTCTACTATATCCAAGGAAGCATGATATCCTAATCTCAAAGTATGGAGTCAGTCATCTGTTGCTGGAAGGGATTTCCATAGAACGCGGATTGAAGGAAAAAGGAAAGCCAGTCCACGGGTCCCGGGGGAAGGAGGTTAGAGAGGGAGCCAACAGTCCCAGCAGTCCCCAAGCAATCCCCAGCAGCCCCGGCAGTCACTAAGATTGGGGGGCAGAAGGATTGGGGCTAATGGGCTTAGCTGGCTCTTTTCCCTCTTTCCTCCCTGGGTCGTAGCGTCACGGATCAGGAGGCGATCAACCCGGCGCAGGAACCTCGCGACCCAGACGGTCGGGTTCAGCAACTGCTTTTTTGGCCCAGCAACTCCCGCTGGATTTTTCCGCACCGGTCCTTTGTTTGCTATTTACCTTTCTTTTTTGGTGTGATCCATCCATCTATTCTTCTCTCCCCACCCCAAAGTTTTCCCTTTTGATTGCTGTTTATTTTCCCTGACTCTCCTTTGTCTGTATTCCTGCCAATAAAGCCAGGGGGGGG